ATGAAACTCTAATCTCCAGGAAAATTCTTATCCACAAGAAAACTGGAAGTAGCTCTGTGTCTCAAGTGGTAGAGCACTAGCCTTGAGCTGAAGAGCTGAGGGACAGCACCTAGGTCCCAGAGTTCAAGCCCCGCAATGGACAAAAAAAAAGCCAAACCAAAAGAAAAAAAAACTGGCACAAGAAAGGAAGGAAAGTAGGAAGGAAGGAAGGAAGGAAGGAAGGAAGGAAGGAAGGAAGGAAGGGGAAGAAAGAAAGAAAGGAAGGGAGGAAGAGAGGTGAAATTGCTCTTCAAAAGGCTAAAATATTTGTTTAACAGTAGCATTGAGGCAGATCCATTTCCTTTCTCTTGCTAAGTGATAAAATAGTGACCATAAGACCTCCACATCTCAGAGTAACTGAGGCCCAGAAAAGGACCACCAGAGAAACCTGACAGCAAACCACCATTTTATGTCTTTGCACAGAGGAGCTGCTCTACAAAGAGTTTGTCTTCCCAGTACAATGTCACCAGTAGTGCCATGTTCTAGAATTGAGGGAAGACTTGCCCTTTTAAAAAAAGAAGGAGGAGGGCTGGGAAGGTGGCTCAGTGGTAGAGTGCTTGCCTTGCATGCCTGAGGCCCTGGGTTCGATTCCTCAGCACCACATAAGCAAAAAGAAAAAAGCGGGAAGTGGCGCTGTGGCTCAAGTGGTAGAGCGCTAGTCTTGAGCTGAAGAGCTGAGGGACAGTGCCCAGGCCCAGAGTTCAGGCCCCACAACTGGACCAAAAAAAAAAAAAAAGAAGGAGGAGGAGGAGGATGATAGCGATGAGAAAAAGGGAAAGGAAGAGGGAGAAGGAGAAGCAGAAGGAGAAGCAGAAGAAGGAGGAGAAGCCATAAGAAGGACTGGTAGTACCTGAGTGTACAGTATCTCTCTGGACTGTCTCAGATGGGTGTGCCCATGTGAGTCTTTGTCTACGAAATGAAAACAAATCCTCAGCCTTAATTAAATACTGAGCCCTAAGTGATCTGTGAGGTGTGAGAGACAGAAGGGTCCAATAGTATGAAGAGAATAGACTTGCGACCAAGTCTCCAAAAAAAAAAAAAAAGACTTCTGCTTCATTTTCCCTGTGCCCATTCTTTGATATTCTGCTTTTCCAAACTTCCCTACTTGTCTACACTGATTTTCTAAATATGGCTATGGCCTTTTGGTGTCTGTTGACACCATGACTTTAAGTTGAAATAAAGTAAAAGTAATTTCCAAGGAACGCTCCTTGGAAATTAAAACTTGAAAAAGAGAATACTTAAATCTACATGGACTCCTGCCTACTTCTAAAACCAATATCTTCATAAGACACTCGAGCTTCAAAACCGCTCCAACTCCCATAAACAGCTCTGTTTTAATCTGTTGCCTGCAACATACCAATGAGAAAAATCATGGTATCGTGTCCTAAACTGCTATGCAAATGATGCTATTTGTAAGTATTAACATAATTTAGTGCTTACAGTCATATTCTCATTTCTAATAATTCTCCTGGAATGGAGTCTTTTTCTGGACTCTTAGCCTGCAGGATAGTCTTTCATCAAGAAGCTGAAATTTTTAATAACCTGCCAGCATATGTTTTGTATGTGCCAGGCTAGGCTTGATGACACATCATCTTCATTATCAAAAGAAGCAGGTCTACAAACTGTAATGGGACATTAAAACATGTCTGTGCTCATAAAGTAATGCTTTGATGTCTAAATGTACACAAGTACAATGGTCTTATGGAACAAAGGAGAATTCTAATCCTAATTTCTCAATAGCTACACTCAATAGAGACTGTCATGCACCTCCACTCCAAATGCCATTTCACTTTGAAGGCAAAAAAGAATATCAAAGCTTCGCAGAACTGCTTTTCTTTTCATTTTAATTATTTTGGCTTCTCACCACATCATGGCAAAGCAGGCCTCAGACTGCAAAAAGATTTCTTGAATAATTTTTGTACTTGTTAACAGTTTTTAAAAATGATTTAGCTATGCTATCAATTATTCAAGAGTTTCACATTTAATAACATTAACAACAGTGCCAAATGAATTTAGTGACAATTGAAAATGGCATAGTTTGAAATAATTGAAGTTAAATAATGTACAGTGTGGTTTCTAAATACAATTCAGTCCTATGTTCAATGTTATTTTTGTTTTGTGCCAATGCTGGGGCTTGAACTCAGGGGCTGGGTACTGTCTCTTAGCTTTATTACTCTACCACTTGAGCCACAGCTCCATTCCTGGGATTCTGGTGCTTAATTAGAGGTAAGAGTCTCTTGGACTTTCCTGCCCAGGCTGGCTTTGAACCACAATCATCAGATCTCAGCTTCCTGAGTAGCTAGAATTACAGATGTGAACCACCAGAGCCCCACTGTAAACATTTCACACATTTCAAATTTATTATAGCCTAGTTTCAGGAGAATGCTTTGAAACGTATCATTGGAATGACTGAGGCCAACACCAACCTTGCACGCTAATGTTTCAAGTTTTTAAAGGAAAAAAAAATTCAGGGGCTGGGAAGATGGCTCAGTGGTAGAGCGCTTGCCTTTCATGCATGAGGCCCTGGGTTCGATTCCTCAGCACCACATAAGCAAAAAAAAGAAAGAAAGCCGGAAGTGGCGCTGTGACTCAAGTGGTAGAGTGCTAGCCTTGAGCTGAAGAGCTGAGGGACAGCGTTCAGGCCCCAGAGTTCAGGCCCCATGACTGGACCCAAAAAAAAGAAAAAAAAATTCAGATATTTTCATGATTTAATCTCAACAGCTTGCTTCCAAAAGCAGCTCTATACAAATGAAATAAAATCCAGTTCAAAGAGAACAAAAGAGAAGCCACTATGAACCTCAAAATTAAATACATTTTGTTTCACTTTCTTTTTCTTAAAGAGTAATTCACTTTAGTATCCTTTAAATAATATGTAAAAAGCTGGCCATTACAGGTACTGTATTTAGTGTAGCCACTGTTGGAGAGCAAGGAAGCCCAGAATAGGTCATGAGGAGAACGGTACCATTTTTCAAGGGAAACTCTCTCTCCTGACTGTTCTCTAGATCTAGCCATCATTTCGCATTCCCAAGAGCAATGAAGATCCCTCTAGTTTGCCCCTCCCTCTCTAACACTTGTGCCTTGATTCATATACTTCTCTAGTGGGATGCTCAAAGCAGATGAAAATCACCTTGTACAACCCACTGCTAACCAGCTAAGATAACTTGCCTCTTAATTTTCCTTTAGCCAGTAACTCAGCCTAAACATTGATAGGGGAAAAGAAAAGCCAAACATGACTAGGTCTCTTGGTCCCAAAATGGCCTAGTATTTTAGTGGCGGATATAATTTAAAATTAAAATTAATCATTAAGCAAATGCAGAACAGACTTAGTTACATTATTCATCTTACCAATGTGCATGGAAAAATTTATATATCTCTATTCATATTCCAAGACCTTGTACCTACTGCTCTGCTTTTGCTGAGAGATTTTCTGCTGGGATGTACTCCTATTTTTTTTTTTCTCTCAGCATCTCACAGGGACCAGCAGTTATATAAATTTCCTTGGACTGTCTTAAAAACATATGACTGCTGACAAAATGCTATCATATGTTAGCTTCCAGGTGACAGCCACTCACTAATAGAATTTCTGTCCCATAATAAAATACAGTTAGCTTAATAACAACATTTGATAGAAACACATGATCAAGACTTACTTTGGGCAAATGATGAAATTTGTAATGTTACTGAATATGAAAAAAGAACAATTTTCTAATTATCATAATCAATTTGAAGGTATGAATGACAATTTTTGGGGGGGTCCAGTCGTGGGGCCTGAATTCTGGGCCTGGGCGCTGTCCCTCAGCTCTTCAACTCAAGGCTAACACTCTACCACTTGAGCCACAGTGCCACTTCCAGCTTTTTTCTTTATGTGGTGCTGAGGAATTGAACCCAGGGCCTCAGGCATGCAAGGCAAGCGCTCTACCACTGAGCCACCTTCTCAGCCCATGAATGACAATTTTTAGGGACCAAAGAAGATACATTTAAAATAACCCAATGACTCAGATGAGTGAGGTGTTTCAAGCCTGTAATCCTAACCACTTGGAAGGCAGAGATGGAGGGTAATGGTTTGAAGTTAAGGTGGGGAAAAAAAAAAATCACAAGACTCAACCAATGTCTAAGTGAAGTTGACATACACCTCTGTTTTCTCAGTTATATGGAGGACAAAAATAAGAGTATTGCAGTCCAAGCTACTTGGGCATAATGCGTGATCCTATCGCAAAAGTAACCAATAAAAGCACCAGCTCACCAGCACTGGCTAACTACTCAGAAGGCTGAGATCTGAGGATCATTATTTAAAGCTAGCCCTGGAAGAAAAGTTCATGAGACTCTTACCTCCAATTAGCCAACAGAAAGCGGGAAGTAGAAGTGGGCTCAAGTGATAGACAGCCAGCCTTAAACAAAAAATCCAGTCAAAGTGTGAGGATCTGAATTCAAGCCCCAGTACTAACACAAAGAAAAAGAATGCAAAAAAGAAGTTGGTGGCCCGGTGTCGGTGGCTCACACCTATAATCCTAGCTACTCAGGAGGCTGAGATCTGAGGACTGGGTTCAAAGACAGGTTGGGAAGGAAAATCTGTGAGACTCATCTTCAATTAAGCACCAGAAAACTGGAAGTGGCACTGTGGCTTGCCTTGAGCTGAAGAGCTTAGGGACAGTGCCCGGGCCCAGAGTTCAAGCCCCACAACCAAAAAAAAAAAAGAGATTGGTGGAGTGGCTCAAGTGGTAAAGTGCCTACCAAGCAAGTATAAGACCTTGATTTCAAACCTCAGTATGTCAAAATAATAATATAACATTAACAACAACAACAATAACCCAATGATTCAATTCATTTTCTGTACAGGGACTCAAGCCCAAGATAGGAACTATGGGTAAGTCACAGAGCTGAGTCTAAAAGAAAGAACTTTTATCTGGTAATGGAGCCTTGTAATTCGTAACCTATGGTTTAATTTGCCACTGAATACTTACATGAGCCCACTTCTTACTCCAGCCTTCACACCCGTATCTGTTGCTCTCCTTTACTACCCACTTGTAGCATGGTAGATGGGAAGAAATGTCACAAAAGGCAGTCCCATTCCCTCCAAATTCCAGGTCCATTTTAAAGAGCCAGCGTTGGATTTGCAGGTGATCAGTCACCAGCTGGGTCAACTGTTCTATCATCTGCGAGGCAAAGACAGCAACATTTCAGAGTTCTCATCCTGTCTATCTCATTGACTTGATTGTGAAATTTTGCATGTGTTCTCATTTGGTTCTCCTCTCCTTAAGACGGGCTAAAGAAGAGTATTGTGTTTATGTTGTAAAAAAATAACCATTAAGCAATGAGATCAAAGACATGCTTAAAAAGTATAATCTTGCTGGGTTCTGGTGACTCATGCCTATAATCCTAGTTACTGAGGAGGTTCAGATCTGAGAATTCCCTTTGGAAGCCAGCCGAGGCGGAAAATTCCATGAGAGTCTTATCTCCAATTACCACCAAAAAGCCAGAAGTGGAGGTGTGGCTCAAGTGGTAGAGTGCCAGCCTTGAACAAAAAAGCCAAGTGAGAACATGAGGCAGAGTTCAAGAGTTCAAGCCCCAGTATACTGTCTCTCTGTCTCTGTCTCTCTGTCTCTCTCTCGCTCTCTCTCATACACACCCCCCTCCCCCGAATCCAATAGCAAAACAATTTCACACATACACAAAAAAACCCACGAGAGATAAAGGAAAGAAAATACTCATAGAACCCATCTTTCTGGAATGAATACCTAACCTACCTTTGATCAGAAACATACTCCCTCGAGAACTGGTTTCAAACACAGATATTTAAGGAATAGAATTGATTTCCAATGAACCAATGGAGGAAAAGTCAATAAAAAATAAAACCCGCGGCTGGGAAGGTGGCTCAGTGGTAGAGCGCATGCCTTGCATGCATGAGGCCCTGGGTTCGATTCCTCAGCACCACATAAGCAGAAAAAGCTGAAAGTGGCGCTGTGGCTCAAGTGGTAGAGTGCTAGCCTTGAGCTGAAGAACTGAGGGACAGCACCCAGGCCCAGAGTTCAAGCCCCACAACTGATGACAAAATAGACAAAAAAAACCTAGTTTGATACTATTTTTGGAACAAAATCTTTGCCATTATTGAATTGATACTTAGAAAGTATGTTTTCATTACTGAGCTGAAACCCTCTATAATAACACTGACATTACTGACCTTTATAGGATTCATGCCTTTGACTTATAAATTTTCCACATGGACTTTCCCATTTAGTACTCACACTTACCCATGAGGTAGGGACTATTCATGGTTCCGTTTTATATATAATCAGAGGCTGGCTAACTTAAACCACTTGCACAAGATCACACAGCATGTGGGGCAGAGCAAGGCACCTCCCAGCCTGCTTTGATTCCAACTTTACACTTCTTACCCGGTCCAGGGAGCAAGAGAGATAAATGAACTGGAGACAAAAGTTAGAGGAACAAGAAAAGCAACTTGCCTCACAGTCAACGTGCCATTGAGAGTGTGTATGAGTCACACGAATTTCTATAGCCAGTCTACTTAAATTATATTACAAACTTGGAAAAAACTGCACACACACACACATATATACAGTGCTACACTGGAGCTTGAACTCAGGACCTGTGCACTGTCTTCAGCTGTATCACTTAAAGGATGCCACTCTCCCACTTGAGCCACACTTCCACTTCCAGCGTTTTTGGTGGTTAATTGGGGTCTCATGGATTTTTCTGCCTGGGCTGGCTTTGAACTATGATTCTCAGATCTTAGCTTACTGAGTAAGTAGGACAGGCATTCAGTCTGTACTTCCTTGAAGCCAACAAACTGACATGAGGCATCATGAATCTACCCATGCTGCTCTTGGCTATGGCCTCTTGTATGTATATTTCTTGTGACACTCTTATTTTCTTCTCTTTTGATGGCTTCTTTTGCCTACCAATAGATTCCTATTTTTTTCCTCATTAAAAAGTGTGAAAGAATTTAATATTTATAGTTTGGATCTGAAACTGCAAAGGTAAATCTATTTTGTTTAAAGGCATGATGTGTTCTTTTGAGTTATGGCTCTCCATCAAATGTTCCTGGAGATGCTACATGGAATTTGTAGGGAAAAAAATAACAAATACTCACACTTGAGGTCCCCAGAAACCTTATGTAATTATGTATTCTGATAGGGTGAAAATGAAATGGTTTTGACTCCCTAATTATCAAATAATGTCTATGGATAATTTGGATTTTTTTTTTTTGTCAGTCATGGGGCTTGAACTCTGGGCCTGAGCCCTGTCTCTCAGCTCTTCAGCTCAAAGCTAGAGCTCTACCATTTGAGCTACAGCGCCACTTCCAGTTTTCTGGTGGTTTATTGGAGATAAGAGTTTCATGGACTTTCCTGTCCTGGCTATCTTTGAACCGCAATCCTCAAATCTCAGCCTTCTGAGTAGCTAGGATTGCAGGCATGAGCCACCGGCACCCAGCTAATTTGGATGTTTAATCAAGGTATCCTGATTTATATATCTTGTGGCAATGAACATAGCTTAGGAAGACTTTAAATATGTCTTCTAAAGTTGCATTCCTTCTTTCTTTAATGGATAGGGAAGACAGATTCTATATTTAATCATATTTTTAGGGCATTGTGGTCACTCTTTGCTGTAGAAATGGTCTTCACCCTGTTAATGTTAGATTAAAAAATTCTGCTGTTGTAAGGAAAGGTGTTCTGGCAGTCTTTTAAATCATACATTTGAGTGTATTGTATATTTGGAGATTTCAAATACTAATAGAATTATCTGTTTCTTCCAAATCCTATTATTTGTTGTTTCTGAGAAGCATATAAATAGGTGTCTTTGATAGGTCCCCTACAGTAATGAAAACGATCAATAGGATTGTAAAGACTATGCCACTGGAAAGAATTATGTGCTATCTTTAAGTGAAAATTGAACAGTACTTTAAAATAGCACTGCCATTTTTGATTATTTAACTAAAGCTGTCAATATTTCATGCGAAGCAGAGGCCAGAAAGAAAACTTGCATGGTTACTTTATGAACTGAATCAGAAAATGCTCACTGTACTCATGCTGGGTTTTTTTTTTTTTAATAATCATCAACCAAGTGATTTTAGGCTATTTCCAAACATTTGTTTTTGTCTGTTTGAGTCTATCTGTTCAAAAGGTCCTTTTTTGTTGTTGTTGTGATTCTTTTATGCTGGCAAAGAATAAAAGTAGGAAAAAATGACTACTGTGAAAATCCAACTAATACTCAGGAATATTTCCTAAATATTACTTGTTAAAAAAAGAGTTTTACCAGGTTTGTTTTTATGTTGCACATCAGTGAAAAAAAAATCATTGTTATTGATTAATTACCATTTGCAGATTCAAAATACTAATACACTGAGATTGATTAGGTAGGGTAGTAACTACGTACAAAATCTCTGTGAAGTACTTCGGCTCTTGATGGTTGCAGATAACATGTTTTTCAGAAAAGCAGACTCAGTTATAACTCAGTTTACTATTATGGTATTTATATATACCATAGATCAAATAGTATCCTTAAAATCTGATGTGTCTATGAGTTGTTTTTTTTTTTCCTAGTCCTGGGGCTTGAAATCAGGGCCTAGGCATAGTCACTAAACTCTATCACTCAAGGCTAGCACTATGGCACTCTACTTCCAGTGTTTTGCTGGTTAATTGGAGTTAAGAATATCATGGACTTTCCTGCCTTGGCTGGCTTTGAACCAGAATGCTCAGATCTCAGCCGCCTGAGGAACTAAGATTATAGGCCACCAGTACCCAGGAAAATGTTTAATCCTCCTTCTAAATACAATCACTAGACAGAGGCTGTACTACAATTCGGAGATTAACCACAATTAACATATAAAGTCCTAAATACTTCAGAGCAGAATAATGCCTCAATTCTCATCAGTGAAGATGAAATCAAGGATCAATTTAAATACTGCACATACATTTTAAAGTCTTGAAGATTGCTTAATAATAATAATAATAAAACTGTACCATTCTAATGGGTATTTCACTTTTTATTAAGCTTAGTGGCCCAAAAATTTTACTGGGAAACAGAGTTGAGCGATCTTCCTTGTTATTTTCGAAGCCCAGTGTAGGTTAATGATCATGGAAAGTGATCCAGCAGCTCAGAGGGAGCCTCGCTAATCCACAAAAGCTCCCTGGGCCTTTTCACAGATCATGCTATTTCTATGAGCCTAGGTATCAACAAAAACACTCTAGTAAGACTTTAGGGAAATTCAATAAGCTTGTATCTTCTTCCATCATGTCTCTGCAGAGTATCAGTTATTGAAAGACTTGATTTGGGGGGGAGGGGGTCTCATGACTTGTGTGGTATACAACATAATGAGCAAGCAACTGAGATTCTTAGAAGGGCTTCCCTAAATTCAGTCCCTGGCAAACTATCTCATTGTATATGGTTCTTCAGTTTCCCTAGAAGTGGAGAGTGGAGATAATTGGTGATTGGCTCAGAGTAACGGTCAAGAGATGTACTAAAACAGAGGTTAGGAAATGTTAACAGCCATTTGTCTTTTAATTTTCTTTATTATGAAAACAGATGGCAGATAAATGAGAGAACACCTGCCAGAGTTCACTCAAAGAGAAAACATTTCTAGCAGCTAATGAATCTCTCCAAATATTTGGGGCCTGCTGGAATTACAGAGCCACGGCCCTGGTTCAAGGCAAAACCAGCAGTAGTTTCATTCCTGAGCCATTTCATGCCTCCCTCCTGGTTCTTTTCTATCCTTCTCCTTTCAGGGCCCTTTCTGGAGAGCCAAATACATATATATGTGCATATATATATGAATATATAAAATATATATGTATTTATTTCCCCATATATATTTCTATTTAGATGTATATTTACATATTTTTCCATCCATACATATTTTTAAATTTTTATTTATTTTTCCCCCAGAGGTGAGAATATCAGCTACTCTCTGCAATCTGACTCAGCAGGAAAGTTCATTTCCTGGAGCTTTTTTTTTTTTTTCAGGCAAAACTGACTCTATGTTTCTCAGGATCCTATGCTAAATTAATGGCTGACTGGCTGATAAGGTATTCAATACTGATGCAGATTAACCCAAACTATGAAAGAGAGAGAGAGAGAGAGAGAGAAACATGCTGGTCCTGGGCTTAAACTCAGCCTGGGCACTCTCCCTGGGATTTTCACTCAAGGCTAGAGCTCTACCACTTGAGTCACAACTCCACTTCTGGCTTTTTTGGTGGTTAATTGGAGACAAGGGTCTCACAGATTTTCCTGCCCAGGCTGGCTTTGAACCACAATCCTCAGATCCTCAGATCTCAGTGTCCTGAGCAGCTAGGAACACAGGCATAAGTCATGGGCACCTGGCCCAAATAATAATTTTTTTTGTTTTTTTTTTGGGGGGGGGTCCAGTCGTGGGGCCTGAACTCTGGGCCTGGGCGCTGACCCTCAGCTCTTCAGCTCAAGGCTAGTGCTCTACCACTTGAGCCACAGCGCCACTTCCAGCTTTTTCTGTTTATGTGGTGCTGAGGAATCGAACCCAGGGCCTCATGCATGCAAGGCAATCACTCTACCACTGAGCCACCTTCCCAGCCCCCAAATAATAATTTTTAACAATCTAAAATGCCTTAAGGGTAAATATTTTGGAAATTCCAGCAATTTCTGTAAGACAATTAGAAAGAAACATGAAAACCTACAGGCTTCATGTAGACCCCTTAAATCAACTCAAGAATACAACTTTCACTGTAAAATTTGTGAGCAGCATCTTGTCACCATACGTACCTGATCATTTGAATAAATGTCGTATGCTCCAGGAGGGATTGGTACATTGATCTTGTCAAAGATCCGTTTACTGCCAGACTTGGAACTATAAAGTTGCACCAGCTCAGGCTCTGAGCCCAGGATGGGTACATTTAACATATCAGCCACAGCTAAATCATCTCTGTGGAGAAAACCACCCACAATGTAGGCCTCTTTTCCTTGGATGAGATTTTTTATTCTTTTGATTGCCTTGGGACTGTACTTCAGGTGAGTGGCCAGGCACATGTGATGATTCTGTGGGAAGATCATATAATGCCTGTTAAGAGAGGTGCCCTTTTCTTTTTCTAATCCATACACTTAATTTATAATGTTGCACATAATAAATACATTATTAATAGCAGGCTGGGTTATGACCTATCCTGTTGTTTAGCAGTTTAAATTGATAAAAGCTGTTGGGGTGAGGTTCCATAATGGCTCACATCTTTAGTGTGTTGGAAATAGGCTCGCTGGGAATAGAACTAATTACTACACATCTGTATTTATTTGATCCACGTGGAATTATCCTTCTGTCAGAAGGAAAAGAGGCTGGCGGCCTTTGGATAATAGTGATTCATCTCAGCAACACTTCTGGCATGGTTTAACACTAAAGCATCTGGAAAATCAATACTAAAAAATGAAGAAAACAAAAAACCCCCAGAATTCTTCACTGTTTTACTCCTAATCTGGCAACTCTTCAAATGCTTTAGTAAGAAAAAGGTACTTGACTTGGGTAACCTCTTGCCGAAATTCCATTGCAAAATCTATTTCAGATAACATACCATTTAATTGTGGTTCTCAGTGGTTCTAGCCAATAATTCTGGAGAGACCTCATGAATAGAAGGTATTTGAAATTTTGTGCATGACTCAGATTCATTTTCCAATTCAAATTCTTTTTAATTTTGAGTAGTTAGACCTAGTTCAGCAATGACTGTGACTTTCTCTATTAAATAAGTAATTCTATTCATGACTAAATAGCAGAGGACAGAGCCAGGTGGTCATCACACAGCAGAACTAATATGGCTGTGTTTCTGCTTTCAAGAAATGGGGACATAAATAAGGATAGGCAATATATAACTAATACAAGGTAGATAAGAGCCATAGGTAGCTACATAGTGCTTTGGAGGCATAAAATAGAAAGGCGTAGGCCATATGCTGGTAGAGAGAACTGAAAAACTAAGATATTGGTGGGGGTGTGTGGGGAGAATTGGGGGGGGAGCGGGGGGGGGGGAGGGAGGATGGGAAGGGGGAACAAAGGAGGAGGCTACCATGCTTGATAAGAAATGTACTCATTATCTTGCCCATGTAATTGTAACCCCTCTGTACAGTATTTTCACAATAAAAAATAAAAATTAAAAAAAGAAAAGAAAAGAAAAACTAAGGTATTTGTTTTCCTTATGCCTTAGTTTCTTTATCTTTAAAATGAGTATAATAGGACCTTTCATATAGGGAAGTTGTGAGGATTAAATGAAATAATGCATATAAATCATTTATAATAATACATAGGACACAACAGAAATGAATGTTAGGTAGTATTAGTATCATGAAAGAAGCTGGGGTGAAAATGGGGGTGGGAAGGGTATTCTCCCAGGATAGAGCATTAGAACCAGTACTGTTTACTTCCTTAACTAAAGAGGGCAGCATGGGGATTTGAAGTCAGACAGTTCTGGCTTTGAATCCAGCTCGATTACTTCTAAACTAACTGCATGAACTTGGACAAGTGACTTAGTCTCTGTGAGTCCATTTATTTGTTAAATGGGAGAAAAACCCACCCATATTTTGCTCCAAGGCTAAAATAAGATCATGAATATAAAATAACTAATATGATATATGGTTTGGGGCCAATAGTTAAAAAATAGTAATGATTATTTTTACAGAGCAAACCTTGTTTTAAAAATAAAGTCAAGCCAGGCACTGGTAGCTTATACCTAGAATCTTCGCTACTCAGGAGGTGTCCTGTTGGAAGCAAGCCCTAGCAGATGAATCAGAGGGACTCTTATCTCCACTTAACTAGCAAAAATCTAGAATTGGGGTGTGGCTCTTGTGGTTGGCAGAGTGCCAGCCTTGAGTGAAAAAGCTAAGCAAGTGTGAGGCCCTGAGTTCCAGCCCCAGTTCACACACACACACACACACACACACACACACACACACCCATTAAAATGTCATACAATAATGTAAAGCAAAGGTACCAGAACTTTAAGGGAATCCAAGGGTTTTATAGGCCAGTAGCTACTTCAATGTTCATGCAAAGTTTCTAATATGTTAGTATAAAAATGTGGAGTGACTAGTTTGGAGGAAGATCTAGTATACCAGTTTGCAGACTGTTGAAGAGTATAAAAACACTCTGTATGGGGAGAAGAGAGTTAGACTGGGAAGATCCGCTGGATGTCAAGGTTTGCCTGAATTTGTAACTTGCTAGAAGAATGAGCACACTGGACTTTTGTGAGCCTCAGTTCCCTATCTTCAAATAAGAGGTTGGGCTAAAGGCCTCAGGGTGCTTCCAGCTCTTGAAACAACACTCTCCAAACAAGAGCTCTTCTGCACTTAGTGGTTAACATGTATAGAGTTTCTCCTGAGGATAATGTTAAGTCCTGGAAACAGATAGTCATGATGCTTGCATAACAAGATCAGTGTATTACAAGTGTAGTGTACACTTAAAAAGGGTTAAGATAGTAAATTGTATGTTATGTATCTTTTTACCCAATTATAAAAGTAAAAAAACTCCCAGCATTCCAAGACCTTACCTGAAAAATAACTAAGGTAAAAAACAGCTGGGAGCTATACATAGTTCACATGTTAGACTTCCTGTCTATTTTTTTAATTGTGAAAATACCGTACAGAGGGGTTACAATTACATGGGCAAGGTAATGAGTACATTTCTTATCAAGCATTGTTGCCTCCTCCTTTGTTTCCCCTTCCCATCCATTCCCATCTCCCATCCCTCCCCACCCCCGCACTGCCAAAGTTGTAAAGTTTGTTTTTCAACATAACGACTTGTACATCTCATTGTTGCAATGGGTCTACCTGTATCCCTACTTAAATGAATTTTGCCCTTCCCCTCCACAAATTATACCAACATCAAATACAGTGAGAGCAGGGGTTATACCGTGGGGGAGGGAGACTTCCTGCCTATTATAATATGAGACCCTAAATTCAAACTCCATTACTGCCCTCCTCTCTGGCAACTGTATTTCTGAGCTCCATGTTGTGCTTACACCAGCAAATCTAACACTTAAGAGGCTGAGGCAGGAGGATCACTAGTTTGAGGCTAGCCTGGGCTACACAGTCACATTCTGTATTAAAAAATAAACAAATAAAACATAGAAGGTGAAAAAGGTATTCTGAGAGTGAAATCAATATCCCACCCAGGGAAGGAGAAACTGTGGCCCATGGGCCCTGTCATATAAGGCCCCCAATCCATGACAGGACAGACATAAATGCTCCTTGTGGGATGCCTCAGCTACCTTCCTGGATTGATGTCTTGTTTGGCCCTTAAATGGTGTTATAGATGTCTAAATGACCATTGGCAGCAGTAAGGATCCTTACCTCTGCTAGATTATGGCCAGGGGTAGCATCTGGTGGGATCTGTTTCCTATCTGGTTTGTCATTGCTTTTCCCTAATTATGCCAATGGTAATTAGTCACCCAGGTGAACTTAAGTTACAATGTCCAAGGTATTCTAAGGTACCATCTTCTTATGATCTGGCAAAGTCAAAGCCTTTGCCATGCAGTCCCTCATTTGGTCCACACCACTCCCTTTCCCCATCTTCTGGTGTGAGCAGAGAAGGTTGGATGGGTTTATGGGCTACAAAGAGGGATAGCAGATGCAGCAATAGAAACTATAGAGTTCTGAGTGTATTTCAAGCTAGGACAGATTCCTGTCTTCTCTAGGTTTGCTTATTTCTATTGGCAAGTATTCTCTTCAGCTCCACATTACAATGTCCTATGGGCATGCTTTCATGTTCAGGCAGGATGAGACCATGGTATTGTAGCTGATATATGTTTAATAAAGATGCAAATGTGAGTGAATGATAGCTGAGGACACATTACTGACCGCAGATCTTATGTGATCATTTAGAGAAAAATCACTTCTAGGCACTGGAGGTCACCGATGACAAAAATCTAAAATGTTCCCGATTCCCTTGTGTTACGGTCACATTTAATTGATCACCATTGATTTATTTTCTTGATCTGAGACAAAAGGGAGTTATTTAGAATGTCTTAATTAAAAAAAAACTTCAAGTGCCCTAAAATAGACATGATCACTTTTTTTTGTTGTTGTTGTTGGTTGCGGGGCATGAACTCTGGGCTTGGGCCCTATCCCTGCGCTCTGCAGCTCAAGGTGAGCTCTCTACCGCTTGAGCCACCGCACCACTTCTGGTTTTCTGGTGGTTAATTGGAGATAAGAGTCTCACAGACTTTTCTGCCTGGGCTGGCTTTGAGCTGTGATCCTCAGATCTCAGCCTCCTCAGTAGCTAGGATTACAGGCATGAGCCACCGGTGCCCGGCTGATATGATCACTTTTATAGAAGCGCATTTACCCTTACAAATCCAAGCATTGAATAGTAGCGTGGAGAGATATACAAAAAGATTTTGGCACATTTCAAAAAACATCTCTTCAAAGTCATCCATTTGAATGAAAATCAGCACTGATACAAGCTCTCAAACTCATTAAAAAGAAATTAAGGAGCAGCTAGACATGAGCGGAAACTGATTTGAAAGTGAGAGTTTAATTTTTGTATTTTAAAATGTTGATTGCCTATGAATGATTAATTACTCAACTAATTTAAATGTAAGCTTTGAGAAGAAATATTAAGTACTGACTACCTTGTCTACTTGCTCCTGCTCAGCAATAGACCTACACTCTGAGTGGAACTCTACATTTGGGAGTGCCAACTGCAAGAGTAATTTTCCCAGATAATAGGAATATACAGTTGGAGAGCACTTTGGAATTATCTAATTTATCACCTCATGTTATAGATGAAGAACAGAAGGACCAGAGAGTAAAGGTGCTTGGTCATCCAAGAACAAAGCAGTGCTGGTGGTATTCTAGGGTAGACAGACTAGGGCTTTGGACGAGAAAGTGAACTAGGTTTGCCTAGCCACAAAATGAAAGCGATCATTTCTGTTTTATTGCATTATTCTGAGCTCGAAGGAGAACATGTATGTAAGAAGGCACTGGGTTAAAAAAAAAATCACAGTAATCAGGTCCTACACTCTTGCTTAGCTTTTTCAGCTCGAGGCTGGGCTTTACCACTTGAGCCACACCTCTACTTCTGCTTTGTTGTTGTTGTTGTTTTCTGGTTAATAAGTCTCTCGGATTTGTCTGTCCTGGCTGATCTCAAAACTCAGCCATTGGTGCCTGGCTTTATATGTTAAGAATTTTTTTTTTGGGTCCGGTCGTGGGGCCTGAACTCTGGGCCTGGGCGCTGTCCCTCAGCTCTTCAGCTCAAGGCTAGTGCTCTACCACTTGAGCCACAGCGCCACTTCCGGCTTTTTCCTTTTTGCTTATGTGGTGCTGAGGAATCGAACCCAGGGCCTCAGGCATGCAAGGCAAGCGCTCTACCACTGAGCCAACTTCCCAGCCCTGTTAAGAATTTTTTTAAAGTCTACCTTACTCAATTTCCTCCTTATATATCCCTTTCACTGCTCTCTGCCTTTTCAACATCTGTGAACATTTCAGATGTACAGAAACTTCTTTTTGGCAGCTAACAGGCATGAACTTCTTTCTGACAAATGTAACTAAACACTAATGATCATTCTTTCTTTTCCTTGCTTCCTAGTGTCCACAGTAACTCTGCCATCAGGGCTGGGCAATGAGTAGTTATCACCAAAGTGATCCTTGTGTTGATGAAGTACGGGGAAGGTTCCCAAGAACACAAGTAAGTGGCTATGAGCTGTCCCCTTGTCCTCTCTCTTCCTTCCCCTTCTTCTGCCCTTGCCTTCCTTTCCCACTATCAAACGTACCAATGAAGCCAGGTGCTGGTGGCTCACACCTGTAATCCTAGCTATTCAGGAGGCTGAGATCTGAGAATCAGAGTTTGAAGCCAGGCTGGGCAGAAAAGTCTGCAAGACTCTTATATCAAATAAGCTATTCAGAAAAGGCTGGAAGTGGCACTGTGGCTCAAGTGGTAGAGCGCTATCCTTGAGCACAAAGAGGTTCAGGGACAGCTCCCAGACCCTGAACAAGCCCTAGGACTGGCAAAAACAACAACAACAACAAGAAAAAACCAAAGGTACCAATGAAACAGTTGTGTAGAGGGCTTTGGAGAAAATACTGAGTTGTCGATTTATGAGCTCTTCATCTTGATAGTAAACAATATATCTGGGTGACAAATGGCTGAGCACACCAACAAACAAATACCTTTTTTGTTGTTGTTGGCCTGGGTCTTAAACTTGGGGCCTGGGTGCTATTCCTGAGATTTTTTTTGCTCAAGACTAGCCCTCTTCAATTTTGAGTCACAGTGCTACTTCTGGTTTTCTGGAGGTTAATTGGAGATAAGAGTCTCATGGGCTTTCCTGCTTGGGCTGGTTTTGAACTCTGATTCTCAAACCTCAGCCTCCTGAATAGCTAGGATTGCAGGTGTGAGCCACCAGTGCTTGGCTAGAAATGCCTTTTTCTAGAACCCTAAACCTCATGGTCCCATAAATTTCCCAAAGGCTCTTGTTCAGTAATAGGTTTCTACTCAAGATGCATTTCATTCATTAAAAATCAGTACATTAAAAAATCTGGCCAGGCATCAGTGGGTCACACCTGTAATCTTAGCTACTTAGGAGGCTGAGATCTGAAGATCATGATTCAAAGCCAGCCTGGACAGAAAAGTCCATGAGACTTTTATCTCCAATTAACCAGCAACAAAACCAAAAGTAAAGGTATGGCTCAAGAAGCAGAGACTCTGCTTTGAGTAGAAGAAGTTTAGGAGTGCAAGGGCTTGAGTTCAACCTCCAGGACTGTTACAGAAAGGAGAGAAAGAGGAAGAGAGAAGGAAAGAAGGAAAAAGGAAGGAAAGAAGGAAAAAGGAAGGAAGGAAAGAAGGAACGGAAAAGAAGATGAGAAGAAAAGAAAAACAAAAAAGAATAAGAGAAGATCTAAACCTTGTTTATTAGGGTCCATGGGGCAAGGTAGGGGCTATAATCAGAAAAATCTCTGTGGAAGTCAGAGACCAGAGATTCTGTCCCTGAGTAGCTTTGTGACTGCAAAGCAATCCATGTCTGTTTCTGCCCTGGTGGCCTCCACACAAAATTAAGATAAAAGGGTGATAGATGTTATAAATTCACCTACTTGATAGTATCACTCAATAACTGAAATTGGGCTTCAGTCACAGAAACTGGACAGAAGTAGCTCAACTAAGTCTGAAAGTTAAACCTGGGATATTTATCTCCTTATAGTTCAACTGGTAGTCTAATCAGTAAGGCTGTTAAACTTGCAATAATATTTCACTGATGTGTAGCCGAGCGTTACAAGTTATAAAATTTCCAATTTAATTTTACTGCATCCCTGAAGCCGTAGTAATTAGAAGACAAACTCACTGTGAAGAAGTCTACAGCTTCGGGGGTGATAATTTTCAGCCTGTTCTTCAGGTCACTTCTGTCATTCACATTCCCCGATTTGACAGCTGCATGTAGACTCAGGATTTTTTGGTAATATAGCTTTAACTCATCATTCATATGGTGGGAGGAGATGTAGATGACATTCACATTGATATCTAAAAAAATCAACAGGCACAATGTTAATTACTGACAGAACGGTAAATCACCCTGTGAACTCTGGCATCTAATTGATGTCACCCAGTTCAAAATAAAAAGCATATCCAGCCGGGTATTGGTGGCTCACATCTGTAATCCTAACTATTCAGAAGGCTGAGATCTGAGGATAGTAATTCACATCAGCCTGGGCTGTAAAGTCCATGAGACTCTTATCTCCAATAAACCACCAGGAAACTGGGAATGGGCCAGGTGCCAGTGGCTCAACACTTGTAATCCTAACTACTCAGGAGGCTGAGATCTGAGGATCATGGTTTAAAGCCAGCCCAGGGAAGGAAAGTCTGTGAGACTCTTATTTACAATAAACACTAGGAAGCCGGAAGTCCCACAACTGACAAAGAAATAAAAACAAAAAACTGAAAATGGCGCTGTGGCTCAATTGGTAGAGTCCTAGCCTTGAGCTGAAGAGCTGACAGACAGTGCCCAGGCCCAGAGTACGAGCCTCACAACCGACCCCCCTCCAAAAAAAATAAAAAGGCATATCCAAAATGCCATACTGAAGTTCATTTAGACAGCTTTTTCAAGCAAGCTATTCAGCTTATTATTTATTCAATCCATTCATTCATTTTATTCATCTATTTTTATTTTCATTTATTTATTTTTATTCAGTGCCAATATTGGAGCTTGAACTCAGGGCCTCAGGCTCTCAGTTCACTTTTGCTCCTTAAGGGTATTGTTCTACCACTTGAACCATAGCTCCATTTCTGGCTTTTTGGTGTCTAATTGGAGATAAGAGTCTCAAAAACTTTCCTCCCTGGACTGGCTTTGAACCTTGAGCCTTCGATTTCAGTTTCCTGAGTAGCTATAATTGTGAGCCATGGTGCTTGGCTAAAGAACTTTTCCACTTATTATTATTATTATTATTATTTTGGTATATCAATAATGGGGCCTTTAGGCTCTTGCTTACCTTTTTGTTCAAGACTGTGGCTTTTTTTTACACATTAACATTTCTCTAAGAAAAAACAACATCACAAAGTATACGCAGTCATGCCTTAAGAAGGCAAATAAGGGCTGGGAATGTGGCTCAGTGGTAAAGCGCTTGCCTTGCATGCCTGAGGCCCTGGGTTCGATTCCTCAGCACCACATAAGCAAAAAGAAAAAAGCCGGAAGTGGCGCTGTGGCTCAAGTGGTAGAACGCTAGCCTTGAGCTGAAGTGCTGAGGGACAGTGCCCAAGCCCAGAGTACAGGTCCCACGACCAGACCCCAGAGGAGAGAGGAATGGTACACAAATGCTGTCATAATATGTAATGTACATATGTGAAAAGGAAAGTAAGAAACCTGATGAGATGGGGAGAGGTCGGAGAGAAGGGGACAGAATGATGGAAGGGATGATTGATCGAGATGCCTTCTACACACAAATGGACATGTTTAAATCTGAACTGCTCTTACAACTATTTGAAGAAAACAATAATAATACTGATGATGACGAAGGAGGTCTGAGCTTCCAAATAACACACAGAGATTTAACCACAACTACCATTAATATCAGTGGGAACTGCAACAAAAACCGCTTATAGATTCAGGAGCAGAAGAAAAGAAATTCCTTGAGAAGAAATCCTTGATAAGAAACTATATTGCTAATTACATTTTTTCTTGCCAATTTCTGGAAAATGATATATATTACTGTGATATACAGTATTAGTATGGTTTCATTATGAAGATATAAATACTATTAATTGACAAATCATTATGGAAAGGAGCTATAAGAAGATGAAAGTTGCTTTGATTGCTGGCCAATAGTCAAAATTACTCTTTAGCTTGACTATCTAGGAATTGAAGAGATTAGCTATTAGAGTTTGTACCCAAAGTCCTGGTTTCATAGCCAGCAGCAAGTGACAAATTTTATCAGTAGAATTGTGTTGTCTTTATTTTCCCCTGAATAACCAGAAAAAGCAACACTTTTTTACTAGCAATTAATGAAATTGAAATGATAGTTATTTATTCTTCTACAGAATTGCTACTGGTTTTTTTCTAAGTTTCTTGACATTTTTATTTCAGAAGCAAGCACTTCTATATACAAGCAAATTTCTTCTATCTACTACTTGCTGAGGTTTAAAATCAGGGCTTCACTCTTGCTAGGTAGGTGCACTGTTGGGAGCCAGGGTTCCAGTCCTTTCTGCTCTTGTTATTTTTGAGATAGGGTCTCCCATTTTTGCCTAGGCTAGTGTGAACAGCAGTCCTCCTATTTACACTTCCCAAATTAGCTATAATTACAGGTGCATGCCACCACAACCAAATGCTTTTGTTAAGATAGGGTCTTACAAACGTCCCCCTACCCCCCACCTTCAACCTCCACCACAGGCTGTCCTGGAGTCTTTATCTGCCTGATAACCACCTTCCATCAACACCTAGCCCAATCTACTTCTTTTTAAAATCTTTATTCCTTTTAAAGTTACATTGCTATATCATAAAGACAATATACCAAGAAAAGGCATAATCTCTCAGAAATGTTGGTTAGCAAAATTTTTCTTAGCAGAGGGTACAGACTGAATTACTGGATTATTTAAAATACAGGCCTAAAACTTCCAGGTCTTTCCAGAAAGGAGAATCTTGTAAAAAGTATAAATTTATATATACATATATGTATGTGTGTATATATATATATATATATATATACATATAGGTATATATGTATGCATGTATATGTATATATATTCTTTGGTGGTAATTTTTCTTTTTCTTTCTTATTTTCTTTTTTTTTTTTTTTTTTTGGTCGTGGGGCCTAAACTCTGGGCCTGGGCACTGTCCCTCAGCTCTTCAGCTCAAGGCTAGCACTCTATCACTTGAGCCACAGAGCCATTGTCAGCTTTTTCTGCTTATGTGGTGCTGAGGAATCAAACCCAGTGCCTCATGCATGCAAGGTAAGCACTTTACCATTGAGTCATCTTCCCAGACTGATTTTTCAGATAGATAGATAGATAGATTTTAAAAGCTAAAGAAAAAATTCAATTTACCTGGGTACTGGTGGGCTCATGCATATAATCCTAGCTACTCAGGAGACTGAGATTTGAGAGTCGAAGTTCAAAGCCAGCCCAGGCAGGAAAGTCTATGACACTCTTACCTTCCATTAATCAACAAAAAGCCAGAAGTGGAGCTGTGGCTCAAGTAGTAGACTGATAGCCTTGAACCCCAAAGCTCAGGACAGTGCACAGGCCCTCAGTTCAAGCCCCAGTACCAGTACAAACAAACAAACAAAAATCAAATAAATTAAAGCAAACTCTGCCCTCTGCTGCCCTTTAGTAGTCTCCATCCAGCCAGCTTTTAGTTAAAATAGCTCAGTGCTAACAAATCAATCTCAAGTCATTAATTTTATTTTTTGCAATCCTGAAAAACAATATTAGTGCCTAGATAACAGATTAAAGCAATTATACTATTATTATTTTAGGACACTGTAAATTTCTAGTTCTGATGTATTTTTGTTACCAAATGGCATTTATAAAATAATAATGATGCTGAAATATATATGAATCATGTAAAGTATGTCATTCCAGGGAGCCAGCAAAGTTGGCCATTGATAATTTAAAATTCTTTCTTGTTTTGCTTAAATAAAGGCCAAAAAAAACTGTATTTTAACAAAACAAGTAAATTCTTATTTGATAACTAATAAAAAATTATTTTTTACATGTCCTCATCTTTTACTAGTTGTTCATAAACTGATTATTAAAACCTTTGCAAATCTGTATTTTTTAGGCCTAATTTGAATTCTGACCTTGACATTTTCCTAGACCCAGATCTGACTGTGAACAGACCCAACTAGTTTCAGAACTTGACTTTTCTTAAGATCGATCTACCCATCCAAGTCTGCATTTAAGACTTTCCTCCACTGAGGACTTTGTTCTCTAATGACTAGTTGTTCTGTATTTATTGAAATGCTTCTTTTAAAAAAAATCTGTCTTAATTTCTTATTCTTACAATAAAAATGAAATGCTTCATTTCTGACATCATCTACTCATGCCCAGATAACCTAATAGACAATATTGAAACAGATATAAAATTGTGATCTCATTCATTGCAAGACTTCAGTAAATCAAGATTTCTTTCTGTAGGAAAGAAATTGCTATCCCCAACTATAGCAAACAGCATTTAGAAAAATGCCCAAGTCATCAATTAAGGCCAGTGTTTATTCTTTTTTTTTTTTTTTTGTCAGTTGTGGGGATTGAACTCTGGGCTGAGTGCTGTCCCTGCACTCTTCAGCTCAAGGCGAGCACTGTACCACTTTAGCCACAGCGCCACTTCCGGTTTTCTAGAGGTTTAATGGAGATAAAGAGTATCACGTACTTTGCTGCCCAAGCTGGCTTTGAACCGCGATCCTAAGATCTCAGCCTCCTGAGTAGCTAGGATTACAGATGTGAGTTACTGGCACCCGGCTTCATGTTATTTTTAACAAGTTATTTTGGAAAGGGACTGATATGAAGATGAAAGCTTCTTTGATTGCTGGTCAATAGGCAAAATTAGTTACTCTGTGTGTGTGCACACACGCTAGTTCAGGGACTTTGAACTTAGGGCCTGGGCACTGTCCCTTAGCTTTTCTGGCTCAAGGCTGAGGCTCTACAGATTGAGCCACAACTCCATTTTTGGCTTTTTGCTGGCTAGTGGGAGACAAGAGACTCACAGGAGCTGGGAAGGTGGCTCAGTGGTAGAGTGCTTGCCTTGCATGCATGAGGCCCTGAGTTCAATTCCTCAGCACCACATAAGCAGAAAAAGCTGGAAGTGGTGCTGTGGCTCAAATGGTGGGGTGGTAGCCTTGAGCTGAAGAGCTGAGGGACAGTGCTCAGGCCCAGAGTTCAGGCCCACGACTGAAAAAAAAAAAAAAAAGAAAGAAAAAAGAAAAAGAAAAGAAAAAGAGACACAGATTTTTCTTGACTGGGTTGGCTTCAAACTGTGATCCTCAGCTTCTAGCCTTCTCTGTAGCTAGGATAACAGGATTGAGCCACTGGTGCCTGGCCAAAAATCAGTTCCTCTATAACTTAAAGAGACTAGCTATCTGAATATCAACCTGACATTACTGTCAATCTGTTATGTAAAACAAAATATTTACAATTACTCCTAAATGCTTAGAATGGAGAGATATGGGATGGATGGATCTTTAGGAAAGATTAGAAATCCTTGTCAAAGGGGGGAAAAAAGAAAAAAGAAATATTTGATCAACATCCACTGATAAAAATTGCAGTCATTTGTGTAAAGTAAGTATCTGTACCTTTGATGTCACATAACCTCCCCAGCTGCATATTCTGAAGTGTGTCCAAATCAGCAATGTGTTCTCGAACAGTCTTGTGGTATCCTACAAGGCAAAATCCAGAGAGAGCAAGTCCATAGAGCAGAGAGTTCAAAATGTCACGGCCCACACTCCCTCTGCAGCATCTTGCAAACACACTACAAATCCCAAGAACAAGGTCTGTGCTTCTCAAGGGATTAGTATGATTCTGCCCAGTGTAGAGAGAGGTTTAAAGTTTTCAATATCAACACAGCTCCTAAGAATCTGCGTGGCACACACGTGGAGATTTCTGACATGGAACTTGAGTGTTTATAATGGCAGGTAAGAACATTATGCTGTGTTTTAAAAAATGTTTGCATTTCAATGTGTGCATCCTATGTACCATTTTGAAAACAGTTTCCAAAATGGCAAGAGAAAGCATGAGGCCTTGGTTCAAGCCCCAGTACTGACATTAAAAAAACTGTACAAAGTTTCAATGAGCCAAGAGAAAAAAAAAAAATCTCAATATCTATTATACAACATGAGTAGGGTTAAACATTATGTATTATTAGTAGAGATTGTAACAATAAATATGCCAGGTTTAAAAGAAAAAGAAAAAGAGGGGAGATGGGGGAAGGAAAGAAGGAGAAAGATGGGGAAAGGGCCAACAAATTTGACAAGAAATGTACTTATTCCCTTATTTATGTAACTGTAACCCCTCTGTACATCACCTTGACAATAAAAAATAATAATAAAGAAAAAAGAAAAAGAATGTGTCCTAGTATTTGGGTTATAAAATATACATAATTTATAGGTGGACCTGTTGCAACAATGAGAAGTACAAGTTGTCATGTCAAAAATAAACTTTACAACTTGCGGGGGGGGGGGGGGGGAGGATTGGGTAGCAGGGGAGGGAGGATGGGAAGGATGGGAAGGGTAAACAAAGGAGGAGGCTACAATGCTGGATAAAAAATGTACTCACTATCTTGCCCATGTAATTGTAACCCCTCTGTACAGTATTTTCACAATAAAAAATAAATAAATAAAAATATATACATAATTTCACACGAATCCATTCTTATTTTCAGGAATTCATATTTAAGAAATTTTCATATCAGATATGTACAAGACACTATGTTGAAAAATGAACTTTACAATTTAGGCGGGAGGTGGGGGTGGGGAGGGGAGTGTAGTTGTGGAGGTGGGAGGGAAGGGATGGTAGGGGAAAAACAAAGGAGGAGGCAACAATGCTGGATAAGAAATATACTCATTACCTTGCTCATGTAACTGTAACCCCTCTGTAGAGTATTTTCACAATAAAAATATATAAAAAAGAAATTTTCATATCAAAGAAATACACTTCTCAGCACTCATGCGCACACATACACACACACACACACACACACACCCAATACTGAGACTTTAATTCAGGACCAAAGGACTGTTCCTTAGCTTTTTCACTCAAGGCTGGCACTCTACCACTTGAGCCACAGCTTCATTTATAGCTTTTTGGTAATGAATTAGAGATAAGAATCTTGTGGATTTTCCTGCCCAGGATATCGTCAGAGCTCAGCCTTCTGAGTAGCCAAGATTACAGAAGTGACCCACCAGTGCCCAGCTTATTTTGGCTTTTTAACTTACATGACATTTTCAAAGAGTATCCCAGACTTGTTTTATACCAACACAGATCTTACATAAATTTATTACCTACTGTCACAAGTACGTATTTAAAGAATTTTCATATCAAAGAAATAGGCTTCTACTATCAGTCAAAACAACTTTTAGCCTCCAAAGAGCGATAAAGGTTAAAATAATTACTTTGCTAGTACTAAGAAAGTCCTTTAGTTTGTCCTCGTTTCTACTGGAAACAGAATAGAAAGAAAACACAGATTATTATTGTCAAAAAAAATCCAGGCAAGAATTAGTATCAGAAATACTTTCTGTTGATATTTCAAATTTTAAAAAAAAGTGGACCGAAGCATAAACTTTCAATGCATGTGTGCATATCTAGAAGCAGGTAGAACTGCTTATATGAAATTCAGCAATTGGAAGTGCAACTTTTTTTAAAAAAATAAAATTGCTTTTCACGTTTTGAAGAGATGCTTCAATGCCTCCTTGTGGTAACTGAGCCCAAGTTCAACTGCTGGAGATAATGTGATTTTATGGATTATATCTTCAAGATGTGACACAGATGTCCTTTTTTCGCATAAAGGAAAACTATAGCAATTCAAGTGATAGGGCTTCAGATCAAATAGGGCTACAGACCAAATGAACTCTGATAATTTGGCTCTTTGCTTTGATGTCAGTGTTTAAAACACTAGATGATGTCTGGAAATTAAATGACTTTACAATTAATCCAAGTCTCTCTTTGTTTTAAGTATATGGTGGAAGAATTAAAGAGACAGACAGGCTAGTGAGCTGTTTAAATTATTAGAAATTATATAGAAAAATTATTAATTTCTCAATAATTAGAGAGCTGGTCTATATAGAAAGCTAACAGAGACAGGTATAATTTCAATGCTATCTTTTTGTATGAGTGCAATATTATCACCTTTAAGATTTTGCATACATAAGTCTATATTCAGATAAATGTTTACAAAGATGCAAAGAATGTATTTTTTAAGTCCTAAAGGAAGAAGGACAATCAAGGGCCTGAGAGCATTCTGTGGCTGTGTTTTCTTTAAAAAAATATAAAGCTAGCATAAGATGTCTCATTAATGGGGCTGGGAAGGTGGCTCAGTGATAGAGCGCTTGCCTTGCATGCCTGAGGCCCTGGGTTCGATTCCTCAGCACCACATAAGCAGAAAAGAAAAGCCGGAAGTGGGGCTGTGGCTCAAGTGGTAGAGCGCTAGCCTTGAGCTGAAGAGCTGAGGGACAGAGCTCAGGCCCAGAGTTCAGGCCCCACGACCGGACCCCCAAAAAAAAAAAAAGGATGTCTTATTAATTGGATGTACAATTTGAAATATAAAAGATGCTCAATCACTTTGCAGCTGTATATGCATCCAGTGAGTGTTTAAGTCTGTGCTTATATTCAAGTGCCTGAGGTCAGTTTCCCAACAAATTACTTAGTACCTGTTAACGCTGATCAAAGATGCATATTAACCGTACCTGCAGAATTATGACATAGTTACTCAGCCTAACCAATATACTCATCTTACAGAATTGCATGTGAGCGAACTTAGAACATTGTTATGGTGGATTGCATAAAGCAATATATAGAAAAATATTTTCAAGACTGTGAAGTGCTGTATAAATGTCAAGCGTTTTGATCTTACAAGCTAGGTGAATTTCTAAAGCATACAACAATGAATTCTGTGATAAGAAATGTAGTCATTTCTGAAAACGTGGGTACTTCAAAGCTCAGTCCAGGAACACTGGGAAGTGTCGAAAGACTTATCCTGCTATACATGTAAAAGTCAGGGTAAGCACCTTATCTCTTGTCTAAAACCACATAAACCTATAAATTATCATCTGGTTCAGACACTATATATTTAGTACTTGTGACCAATGTAAGTATGCAAAAAGCAGGAATTCTTTTGACTTTAATTTTCTAGTTTGCTGTGGTACGAAGAATAGCCCTTCAACCATGCCCATATTCTAATCTCCAGAACCAGTAAATACATTAGGCAGCATTACAAAGGGGAAATAAAATTGTAAGTGAAACTAAAGTTACTGATCATTTGACTTGAAAATAAATATACTGTCCTTAATGACCTGGCTAAGCCTCATATAATTATAAAAGTCCTTAAAAATAGAAGAGTTGCCAGGTGCTGGTGGCTCACGCCTGTAATCCTAACTGAGGAGGCTGAGATCTAAGAGAGAATCCCAGTTTAAAGCCAGCCTAGGCAGGAAAGTCTGTGAGATTCATCCTATTCTAATTAACCACCCAAAAGCCAGAAGTAGAGGTATAGCTCAAGTGACAGAATGCTAACTTTTAGTAAAAAAGCTAAGCCACAGTGCTCAGGCCCTGAGTTCAAGCCTCATAATTGGTACACACAGGCACACATAAATGAAAGAGAGAGGCAAAGAGTAGAAGTGAAGGAAGCGATGACTTCAGAAGAAAGGCAGCACTGCTGGCCTTAAATATGAAGGAAACAGAGCCTCCTTTGTGCTTCCTTTGTGAGTGGCTTCTTTTCTCCCTTAGAGCCTCCAGAAAGGAATTCAGCTCTGCTGATACTTTGCTTTTAGCACCTTTAAACATCTGAACTACAGAACCCTAATACCCTCCCTTCCTTCCTTCCTTCCTTCCTTCCTTCCTTCCTTCCTTCCCTCCATCTTGTGCAAGTACTGGGGTTTGAACTTAGGGCCTGGGCACTGTCCTTGAGCTCTCTTGACCAAGGCTAGTGCTCTACTACTTGAGCCACAGCTCCACTTCTAGCTTTTTGGTGGTTAGCTGGAGATAAGAATCTCATAATCTACTGCTCAGGCTGGTTTCAAACTGTGATCCTCAGATCTCAGCCTCCTGAGTAGCTAGGATTACACGCATGAGCCAACAACACTGGGCTTCCAATATACTATTTTTATTTATTTATTTATTTATTTATTTATTTTGGTCATGGTGCTTGAACTCTGGGCCTGGGGGCTGTCCCTGAGCTCTTCAGCTCAAGGTGAGCACTCTACTACTGGAGCCGCAGCGCCACTTCCGGTTTTCTGGTGGTTAATTGGACTTTCCTGCCGGGGCTGGCTTTGAACCACATTCCTCATCTCTACTTCCTGAGTAGCTAGGATTACAGGCGTGAGCCACTGGTGCCCGGCTTCAATATGCTTTCTTGAGTGGAGGAAAAAGGATGGAGTTACTGCACTGTTATTGTTACACTGTGTGTGCCACAGGGAGGATGTGGCTCACTGAAAATCATCGATCATGTGTTTTGAAATGGGAAAAAGTCTGAGAATTACTACTTCAAACCATCACACCGGCCAGGGTGAGCAGATGAAAAGCAACTGTGAGGTCACCAGGAGTCTTTCGTTAACTCCTTCTCTGCCTTGAGTACCACTTTAGAGAATCAGTCTTAAAAAGAAACTAGGAGTCAAGCACAGGTCAGCAGGCCAAGTGTTCAGGAACACCACTGGTCTCTTACACTACTGGA